CATTTTGCAGGTTCAGTTTTACAGAGTTATATAGATCCAAAGGGGCACTTTCTGTTATTGGTAATTTGTATTAATAATATCTTTGTATTAATGATTAACATTTATGGGTATAATACCTCTCGGGAAAATGACCTGTTATTTGAAGAGATAGGAGACACATTTTTGTTATGGCTTAATACATTTCCTAATGCTGTAATTTGTATTGGTGGAGATTTTAATATCACACCTGATAACAGTCTTGATAGATTTCCTCCTAGGCAATCTACTTCTCCTAATTCAAAACTGAAAATGTTCATGGAGAAGTTTGATTTAATAGATATTTGGAGGGAGAAGTTCCCAAACGATAAATCTTACACATGGGGTAACAAGAATCGCTCAAGACTTTCTCGTTTCGATTATTGGCTTGTACCATACTCTTTCAAACTTCATTATAATGTTTCGGTTAGTATTCTTCCTTCTCCCTTAACGGACCACCACACTATTCTCCTTTCTACTCCACTATCCACAGGACACTCAAATATAGGCTCTAGAGCCTCTTACTGGAAAATGAATTCCTCTCTACTTAAACATGACGAATTAAAAAAAAGAATTTCCTCTCTGATTCAACGCTACTGGGTGAAAGCTTCTTCTGACAAAAAATTTGGCCTAAATTGGGAGATGTTAAAATATGAAGTAGGGATGTGCATTAGGCATTTTAGTAGCAATTTGGCAAAACAGAGAAGGTATGAAGAGGAGAAGGTTATATCAAAGATCTTAACACTTCAGAGCAAAACTCAGGATGGCTTATCAGAAACTGACCTGACAGAACTTACAGAGCTCCAAGCTAAATTAGACCGTATTTATAAATACAAAGCTGAAGGTTCCTATGTCCGTTCAAGGAGGAAATGGCTAGAACAAGGAGAACAGAGCTCTGCTTATTTTTTTAGAATGGAAAAACACAATTCTAAGAATCTTACCATTAGTTCTCTGCAAATTAATGGCATTTTGACAGATAATTCTAAATAATTAATTCTGTAGTAATTTCTATTCAGAACTTTATAAATGTAATTACTGTAAAGATTCAGCCCTTCTTTTCTTTCATTCATTAAAGGAGGTTAAATCATTATCTAAAGATGAGCAGCTTGCATGCGATAAAACTTTAACTATCACTGAAATAATTGAGGGGATTGAGGGCCTTAAAAATAACAAATCTCCTGGAACTGATGGCCTAACGGCCGAGTTCTACAAAAGCTTTGCTGAAGAATTGGCACCATTCCTGCTAGAGATGTTTTTGGAGAGAATTCAGTCAGGAACTTTGCCTTCTAGTTTGACACAAGGACTTTTAACTTTGATACCTAAACCTAAAAAAGATGTTACTTTGATAGATAATTGGCGACCTATTTGTCTCCTTAATAATGATTATAAAATTTTAGCTTGGGCTGTGGCCAAAAGACTTAAGTGTGTTCTAAGTTCAGTTATTGATGAGACTTAATCAGGATTTATGCCAAAAAGACACATATCAAACAATATCCGACTTGTTCTAGATTTATTAGACTATAGCGAATTAGTTAATGATGACAGTCTTATTCTTTTTGTAGATTTTTACAAAGCTTTTGACTCTCTTGAACACAAGTTTATTTTTCTATCTCTTAAAAAGCTTGGGTTTGGTGATCCATTCTGCAAATTTATAAGAACTCTTTATAATAATGCCAACTGTTCCATCAACCTTAAGTTGGGTACCTCGCCTAGATTTCAGTTGTCAAGAGGAGTTCGTCAGGGTTGCCCTGTATCCCCTTATTTATTTCTTGTGGCTGCACAACTTCTTTCCTCCTCTCTTTTGAGTAGTCAGCTGCAAGGTATTACTATTGACAACAAACATATATACAAGAATGTTCTGGATGGATTTCTGTATTTTCATCACAAAGTTTTTCTTTGTTATGCAAAGATGTTTTATTTGGTCAGCACAATTTTGATAAAGATGCAAAGGACCAATATTTCTTGATAAATTTGTTTATTTTTCTAGCGAAATTTTTCTTACATAAATGTAAATTTCAGGGTGCTAAGCCTTACTTTTTTATTTTTCATAAGGAACTTAAATCCTATCTGGACACACTCCTTATATCCAGCAACTCCAAAGCCCTTAGAACTGTCTCATTGTGTCATTTGTACGATATTTTCCTGATTTTGTAACCTGAATTTGTACTCTCAATTGTATGTACTCCTGGCATTGATGGTGTATGTTCTTAGCAATGCAATAAAAAAAAAAAGATTAAAAAAAAAAAAAAAAAAAACTTTTTGAAAAGACGCCATGTTGTTGTTGCTCGCTGATTCGCTTCGGATTTTATTTGATTAAGTTTGTAATGTGCGAAAGACTAAAAAAATAACGTAGGAGGGGATATTTTTCGATCGCCTGTGAGGACCTTTGTGGGGAAACATGCGGTGTTCTGAACCTGCTGCTAATAAGCTTCTCTTCATTGTGCTAAAGTTACCTGTGCAACTGGTAAGTTAACATTTAAGTTATTTGTTTTATTTGTTTAAATCTATGGTTTAAATGGTGTTTAGTGTCTTAGCAGTTAATGCATTTTATGCATTTGCAAATGATTTGAGCCATTTTATCCCGCATCACTAAAGGTCAAAAATCGATTGAATTGATGAATCAACTATATATATATATATATATATATATATATAAAATCAAAGTCTGTCTTTTTGCATCAAGTGTGCACACATTAAAATGTTTTCGGGTAACAAATTGTAATGACCTCAAAATTTTGATTCGTATATTTCATTATAATTGCCTCGCATTGCTGGACATAAAGTAATGATTTTCATAGAGGTTTCACAATAATTTGATTCACTTTGTTCCACAAGTTGTACATTTTTGTAAGGACAGGTATTTATAAATGTATTCAAGTACGTTAACGTTACATGAGTTGGCTCAAACCATACCAGTAAAGCTTGTGTTATTTACCAAAGACATTTATGTTCTTAAAATTTAACATTTAACAAATCAGATTATACAGTATAAATAAATATTTTAAAGTTTAATGTTTGTATTATGGGATCAAACTAAACACCATATTTCACATAATGCCTATTAAGTTAAATAACTGATTTGTGTCATGTGCTTTAAATAGAATTTTCCTGGTGTTTTGGCAAATATTACAACCTGACTAACTTCTCAATCTGTTTCTTTTCAGGATAAAAGTGAAGCAGCTGGAAGTTTAGTTTGGTGTTTTGATGTCCAATTATTAATTATAATACGCATTCATTGTATAGAGATGCTGGAACCTACCTATTGCTGAGATCCTGGATTGCTGGCCTGCTTTAAAATGGAGTCAAAGGTAAAAATATTTTTCTTAGCACACTTGAAAATGTTTTAAATTTAAAGGGATAGTTCACCCAAAAATGAAAATTCTGTAATTAATTCCTCACCCTCATGTCATTCCAAACCCGTAAAACCTTTGTTCATCTTCAGAACACAGATATTTTTAATGTAATCCGAGAGCTTTCTGGCATAGATGTCAACGTAACTGAAATGTTGCCAGGCACAGAAATGTAGTAAGGACATCGGTAAAATACTCCATGCTGATGTAGAACATGCATGCATGGAGCCTTGTTTACAAGCAGAGGAATGCACATGCATGCGTCGTGGTACTCTCCATAATGGCGGAGGACAGTGACTTGGAGAAGAACTGCAGAATAAGGTCGTGATTTTTGTTTTCTTTGTGCACAAAAAGTATTCTCGTAGCTTAAAATTACGGTTGAACCACTGATGTCAAATGGACTATTTTGCTGATGTCCTTACTATGTTTCTGGGCCTGGGAATATTTCAGTTACATTGCTGTATATGGAGGGTCAGAAAGCTTTCTGATTTTATAAAAAATATCTTATTTTGTGTTCTGAAGATGAACGAAGGTCTTACTGGTTTGGAACGACATGAGGGTGAGTAATTAATGACAGAATTTTCATGTTTGGGTGAACTATCCCTTTAAAGTAATAGTTTGCCCAGAAATTAATATTTGCCATTAATTTACTCTCTCGCTGGCCATGCAAGAAGTAGCTGATGTTTTTCTTCAGTAGAACAAAAGATCATTTTTTGCTGAACTCATGGTCCTTGGTGATTCATAAAATGCAGCTCAATGGGTGTCGTCACTTTGTGAGTCGAAAAACATAAACAAACAACACAAAATAAATACCCATGGTGGCACAGAAGTCTTGAGCTCCAGACTCCTGGTCATAGTGTTATAATGTGTTGTCTGTATCTGATTTTTGACTTTTTGATTTGTGGCACCTGTTGACTTGAATTTTATGAATCACCAAGGACCACAAGTTCAGCTAAAAAATCATCTTTAGTGTTCTACTAAAAAAAGAAAGTAGCCTACATCTTGGTTGGCCGAAGGATGAGTAAACTGACAGCAAATGTTAATTTTTGGTTCTTTTTCAGTGTGTCAGGTTTATATTTGGAGCTGTAGTTTATAGTCAAAGTTCAAAATGTGTTATTTTGCAGTATTTTTTTAAAAACAGTACACTGTACATATATCTTGGCTTAATCGCTTATTAATTTGTGCAGATCTGCTCCGAGTTTCTCAAAATTATGAACGTCAACCTGAAGAACCAGAATTAAAGTTGATCCCACAGGAAAAGTGTCTGAAGTACTGAGTCAGCTTTTCAGGATATGTGACACTTCAGGTCAGTGGTTACACTTCTTAATGGCTGATAAAGAAACTACAGTTGATTTTGAGTGATTCCGGTTGTATTGTCATACACACAGAAGTGTTAGGATGATGCATAGTATTGTGTGGCTGTACTGATTAGATTCCATGTTAAATCAAGAATCTCATACTGAATTCTCTAATTTTCACACTGAAGGAAATACTGACATCCATGTATGATGAGCTGCTGTCCTCCGTGCTCCCTCCGCCTATCTGCTTGAGGACGACTCCACCGTTCTCAAGATGTGGGATGTAAGTGATCATGTTGCTTGAGCCTATGATACACGGGGCAAATTTTGAGCAATTTCGCTGAGCAAAAGATGAGACACAGGGCACACGACCGATCTAAAGTATCCGGATAGAAATTTGTTGCCCATTTTCAATGGGAAAGTGCCCAAGCAACATTGCTAAAAAAAAAGTTGCCCTGCCCATCTTTAGAATTTAGAGAGAGAGATCACTAAAAATCAAAATGCTGCCTAGTCCTCATTTACACTCTTTTACAGAACACCAAAGAATTACTACAATTATAAAGGATTTATTAAAAACCTGGAACTACATCTGAATGGCAGGAGAGATTGTTGGTAACCAAACAGTTTTTGTTCTAACATAGCTTCCATAGTATGGAAAGAATTCTATGAAAATAAATCAATCTGAAACTTTTTTCTTTCTCGGATGTACAATCAAAATCAACGTCTAATGCGATGGGCCTTGGTAGTCCAGAATTTTAATTTGGATATTCGACATAAGAAAGGGGTTGAGAATGTTTTGGCTGATGCTCTTTCAAGAGTTTGAGTATGTGGTGATGTTTTTAAGTGTGAGATGGGTAAAGATGTGTTTGTTTTTTTCTTGTCACAAACAGGTTTGTTCTTAAGGGTGGGAGTGTTACGTCCCAGTGGTTGTGCCTCCGTGTTTTTGCTTTCTCTTTGCTCTGTTGTATTCTTAGGTTCAACCCTCCTCGGACTGCTATTGGTTCAGAAAGCCGTCTGTCATCGTTAACGTGGGTGACATCATTATCTCTGCTGCCAATCCTGTTTCGTGCCAGAGTTTAAAAGGATGACTGAATGAACGCGGAGCAGATTTTGCTTTTCTGTTTGTGCATTTGCATTTTGTTTGTTTCTTTTGTAGTGTTGTTCTTCTGTTACAGTTTTGAGTTGTCCTCTTGATCTTTTCTTTAAGTTTTCTATTTTGTATTTCATTGTTTTCATACGCAGGACAATGTTCTCCTTGCCCCTGGGGAAAACTGGACCAGGTAGTATGTCACGTGACATACATGTAGCAACGTGTAGAGACTCTGATGTATTAGAAACACTAGTATAGAAGTGAGCGCCACTTTTTGCTTTGGTGAGTTTGGAGCAGGTTAGTTAGGGCGTGAAAACGCCGAAGACTTTGTTTTTTTCCCTGTTTTCTTTTCTTTTGTTAGTAGGTTACATTTGGCAACTTAAGTTAGATTGGTTTTGTTTTTTTCTGTTCTTTTCTTTGGCGCCGCTTGCATCCGTTTTTCCCTTGTGGGGGTTATTTTATTTTTGGGTTGTAATATTGTGAAACTATAGTTTTCTCATTATTTGTTATCTTGGTATTAGTTTATTATTATTATTATTATTGTTACTTGATGTTTTTTCTTTTTCTTCTTTTAAACTTGTAAATAAATCACCTTCCTTGGCAGTTTTCGTGTTGCACTATTCTCTTTTTGCCACCACCAATGTCACAACCATCACAACTACAAATGTTACCCCTCTTAAACCTAGACTTAAAAACAAGAGGTCGTAACAAGGTAGAACAATCTGATTAGTAACAATTCAACAGTTGTCACGTTCTTCTGCTCGGAGAAGACTGAAGTTGTACTTTGTGTAACAGTTAACGATTTCCCCTCATTGGCTCATGCATTTGTCATGCTTTTTGGACTAACGTACGCCTTGGATCTAAGTTCCCTAAAAGAGTTGGACAATATATTTGACTTTACCCATAAATTCTTGATGGGTCTGGAGGATGGGAAGCTGAGACCCAGAGTGTTGAGTCTTAAAAATGAACTTTTGTCAGTAGAGTTTCCTCAGTGTCTGAACAAAGCTTACAAAGGTACTGTTTTATTTGACATTTCATTTAAACTTTCACTTCTGTCACTTTAGTTTTAGTACATTATTTCTTTATTTATTTTTTACAATATTTGTGTAGTATTTAATTTGCAGAACATTTTCTCAGTTGATTTTCTGGAATGGTATAAGTTCCATATACAGTACCATGTGTTCATCCACTCATAGAAATGACTATTTAAAAAAAAAAAACATTGCTCTATTTTGAAATTTCTTTTATATTTTATTCTAGTATTACTTTTATATTTCTAAAGTTACTGTTTGATGTGAATTTTGGAAGTGTTCCTATTTTAGGGAAGTGTTTACAGCTGGGTGATATCCAGATATCCATATTGTCCACTTCTAAAAGTGACCGTTATTATCTCAGCTCATTTCTCAGTTTTGGAGAATGTATTTCCATTTGACAAACAATTTAATGTTGATGTTTTGTTAATGATTTG